GATCAAGAATCTAACCTTAGAACGCGGATCTAACGGTCGGATCTCCATGGAGATGTGCTCCCATTTCCATTCAGGAATTGACAAGGGTTGAAGAAGTCCTGCCGGTCTCTGGTGTTCTTCCTTCACTTGCTGACAACACAGACACTGAGGTACAAACTCGGCTATCTCTCTTTTCATGTTTGGCCACCAAAAGGTCCGCTTTACGTCCTGATACATCTTGGTGCTCCCTGGATGGATGGCAAACTTGGAACTATGAGCCTCTTGCAAAATCTTCCTTTTTAACTCTGGTACGTCGGCCACGCACAATCTTCCTTCAAACTTAAGCACTTGATTCTCCATAGTGTATCCCGGCCTCGGCTTGGTGACGAATTCATCAATTACCTTCTTGAGGAATTTATCCTCCCTCTGTCTGGTCTTCACTTCCTCCATGATGGTCGGTTCCACCGAAACCGCTGTCAAGCACGCCAAACTTCCAACTAATTTCCTGCTCAATGCGTCGGCTACGGAATTTGCCTTACCTGGGTGGTACTGAATCTGCATGTCATAATCCTTCAGTAGCTCGAGCCATCTTCTCTGCCTCATATTTAACTCTTTCTGAGTGAACAAGTACTTCAGACTCTTGTGGTCGGTGAAGACTTGGCAAGATGTTCCATACAAGTAATGACGCCATATCTTCAAAGCAAAAACCACTGCAGCTAGCTCCAGATCATGGGTAGGATAATTCTTTTCATTGGGCTTCAACTGACGTGACGCGTAGAGGTGGATGAGAGGTAATGGTAGTAGTAGTGGCAGTAGTGGTAGTGGTGGTAGTGGAGTGGTGGCGATGGTGGTAGTAATGGTAATCGTAGAGGTGGAGTGGCAACAGTGGTAGTGGTGGTAGTAGTGGAATGGCATTTGCAGTAGTGACAAATGTGGTAGAGGAGATGGGTTGTGAGAGAGAGAGATGAGTGAGAGACAGATAGAGAAGAGAAGTAGAGAGACAGAGGCAAAGTGATGAGCGAGAAAGAGACAAAGTGATCGCTAAAAGTGCATTTTCTTGTAGGGGATCAATAAGGAAAATGCCCTAGACCCCTAGTGGGAGTGACCCCCACCACCCCCACGATTTTTTGATTGGTTCAAAAATTTTTATTTTTTATTTTTTTTTTTTCACTCTTGCTCTCACAGCCCACCTCTTCAAAAAAATTTATTTTTTATTTATTTTTTCACTCTTACTCTCACAGCCCCCCATGCGGAGGTGGGGATGCTGGAGGTCACCTCCCACTGGGGGGTCCCTAATATGGTTGGATCGATAAATCGAGAGGGAGCTCAATAAATAGAGAAGAGATGAGGGAGAGAGTGAGCAAGGCGAACACAGTGAGGAAGAGAGACAGATAGACAGACAGACAGACAAATAGACAGGTAAACAGAGAAAGAGAAGAGTGATGAGTGAGAGAGACAGAGACAGAGACAGAGAGAAAAAAAGATAGAGATAGACAAAGAGAGAAAGAAATAGAGAGAGAGAGACAGAAAAAGAGAGAGAAACAAGAGATGAGCAAACGATAAACAAAAAGAGAGAAAAAGAAAGCGAAAAACTCTTTATTTTATTTTTTTTGCGACTGCAATTGGTGTTGTCGCAAAAATTCTATTTTTTTGCGACAGTAATCTCTGCTGTTACAAATACTCTTTTTTTTTTTTTACAGCAATTTCTGCTGTCGCAAATACTCTATTTTTTGCGATAGCAAGTTGTGCCGTCACAAAAAGTCATATTTTTCGCGACGATAAGCTGTACCGTCTCAAAAAGTCACATTTTTTTTGCGACGGCAAGTTGTGCCATCTCAAAAAGGCACATTTTTCGCGACGACAAGTTGTACTGTCTCAAAAAGTCACTTTTTTTTTTGCGACGACAAGCTGTGCCGTCTCAAAAAGGCCAATTTTTTGCGACGGCAAGTTATGCCATCTCAAAAAGTCATATTTTTTGCGACAGCAAATTGTGCCGTCTCAAAAGGTCACATTTTTTGCGACGGCAAGTTGTGCCGTCGCAAAAAGTTCCGTCTCATAAGCCCACTTTTCTTGTAGTGTTTCATTCATCAGAATTAATATCCAAAAGGTGACACGTGCGATATGCGTCCATAAATAGCTCATCCTGAATCTACAACATGTGTTACAGATAGTAAAAATGAATGAAAGATAAATAGATATTTATATGTCCTAAAAGCTTACATCTTTCCAAGTTACTGCTTGGTTAAAACAAAAATGAGTCTAGCTCAATATAATCAAGCCCTTGGCCATGCAAAGTAAATACAATAAAATTTAAAAAAAAAAAAAAAGACCTCTTGCTTCAAATCCCTCCAAGCTACTATCTTGGAGGAGGCATATCACTAACACCTGAAAATGATTTTTCTAAATAGGATGAGACAAAACCCAATAGAAAAAATCTAACACAATATATGAACCTTAACAAAGATATAAGTATGAAATGCATAGTCAATACTCATAATAAAATCATTTATAACTCTTTTGCAAAACCATGACATGCCAAGTTTTATATCTCAATTCATGTTATCTTAATTCATAAGTCATTCACCGTTTTATCTCATTTCATATGTTCCACTCCAATTCGTTCAAATAACCAAACTGAGGGCACAACTCAGTGTGTTTCTAACCAACACAACCATTATACAAACAGTTTCATTTTCCATTTTATGGATATTTCGTCCATGGGAATCGGCCAAATGTATACGCACGGTTTTCGGGACTTTTACCTTAGAAACACAGGCCAACTTAATTCAATGGAGTCCATCCCTTTTCTTCTCCTAAACATACAGTATATCGCCTTTCTTCTCCCACACATCATACATTTACAACGTATTAGAACATGGTCATATTCAATGACAACGGATAAGAGATTAATTTCAATTCACCTAATCCTCATGCAATTTCTACACAATCATAGTTATCCTCCATCGATAGCCTAAAACAGATATTTCTAAACAGATATACAATCTCCAAGACAGATAAATTATCCAAATTTTCATAGAAGAGAGGTAATACATATCCAACTCTACCATTTATGTAAACATCCATTCAATTTCATATTTCCAATGCCAATTTCATTTTTTTATACCAAATAACTATTTGAAACATTTTAGGGCAAACTCTCTTTTCTTCCAAAACCCATCCCGAGTATCAAAATTAACAAATTTATCACAACACAACCTCACATCTACCCCATAACCATTTTTAATACATACATTTGAAAATCCCTCTTTTAATTTTAAATCAAAACCCTAGGTTGTTCAAAATCATCCCAAATTTTAATATTCTTTACACGTCAACAAATAACTAAGTTAAAACTCATAGAAAAGTGTAGAAAGTTCCTACCTCGAAGCTAAAGAGCAAGGAGAGAGAAGAGAAACCTTAAATGAACCGAAACCCACTTTTGTTTGGATAAAAAGAGAGCTCACGATGTGCTCTACCTTTTTAACAAAGGCACACAGGTGTAGAAACCACTAGATCTACATGAAAATGTATAGAGAATATAGGTTTTAGAGAGTAAGGGTCTTAATTTTAGGGTTTTGAGTGGAAAGATCTAAAAAAGTGATGTAAAAAGTCACTTTCACGAACTGATATACGCATAGTCTGCTTGAGCGTAAAAAGTGATGCTCGAGCGCAGAATACACACTTCCAATAGTTTAGCAGACAATAGACCAAGGCTCGAGTGCAAGAAAGGCTACTCGAGTTGAGCCCGTTCGAGCGCAGAAAGAACCGCTTGGTCCTAGAATACACTCTCTCCTAGTATTTTTGTAGACCTGCAAAAGTACTGAGCGTTCGCAAAGTCCGTTTGAGCGCAAGAAGTGCCGCTCGAGCAGAGGAGTAAAATTCTAGACAACAAAGGTTTGAAAACCAAGCAACCAACATGTTCCAAACACAGCCACTACAATCCAATAACCAAATTTGAGGATGTACAAGGGAAGCAAGACATGAACAACAATACGAAACCATGAAACCTGAGTCCGGAATACAAAATGGGTCGGGTCTAAACCAGAATCACTATAATCTCTCTCCTTAAGGAATTTCGTCCCCGAAAGTTCAAATCAAATTTTAAAGTTATGTTTAATCCTAACAATAATGATAATTAATCAATTCCATCATCATGACCCATTTTGTGGTCATCCATTCTCATCAACTCGATACACAAGTTTCAACATTGAAAGCATAACTCACATTTTTCCAAAACATATACAATGTTTATATTAAACTCATGTTTCCAAAACATATACAATATATACAATGTTTCCATATTCTCAAAACATATACAATGTTTTCATATTTCATTAACATAATCGAAATTTCAATACATGTTCAAACATCAACAAATAGTTCAGATACTTCTCACGGACTTCCAACTCACGTTTCCAAGTTGTTTCTTCAACTCCGTGATGTTTCTACAATACTTTAACCAAGAGAATTGTCTTGTCTCGCAAGACTTGGTCTCGAGTATCCAAGACTCTCACCGGTCACTCCTCATACGAGGCATCCTCATCTACTTATAAGTTTGTCCAATTCAACACGTGCGATGGATCCAGCTCATACTTCCGAAACATACTAATATGAAACACATCATGAACCTCGGAAAGCTGTGGCGGTAAAGCCAAACGATAAGCTACCTCTCCAATCCGCTCAAGGATCTCAAAAGGCCCAATGACTCGAGAGGACAGCTTCCCACTCTTTCTAAACCTCATCAAACCCCTCCTAGGTGATATTTTCAAGAAGACATGGTCTCCCACCCCAAAAGACAAGGGTCTTCTCCTACGTTCGGTATAATTTTTCTGGCGACTCTAGGCCGTAACCAACCTCTTATAGATAAGTGTAACTTTCGCCATCGTTTCTCGGACTAACTTTGGACCCAACATAGGTGCGTCTCTCACCTCGGCCTAACACACAGGGGATCTACACGGTCGGCTATATAAGGCTTCAAATGGTGTCATGCCAATACTTGATTGGAAGCTATTGTTATAGGCAAACTCCACCAAGGGCAGCTGCCTCTCCCACGACCTTTTAAATTCAAGGACACAACCTCGAAGCACATCCTCAAGGATTTGAATAGTACGCTCGGACTGCCCGTCAATCTGTGGATGATACGCAGTGCTAAAAGTTAATCTCGTGCCTAAGGCACTCTGTAGGCTCTGCCACAATCGTGAAATGCAGATCTCTATCCGATACAATTGTCACAGGAACTCCGTGCAACCTCACTATGTCCCTAATATAAAGGTCAACAAGATGATCTACCAAGTCACTCATACGCATAGGTATGAAGTGCGCCGACTTATTTAACCGGTCAACTGCCACCTAAATTGCATCACTACCCCCATTGAGTCCTCAAAAGGCCCACAACAAAATCCATAGTGACATGCTCCCACTTCTACTCGGCTATAGGCAAGGGTTGCAACAAACCTGCTAGCATCTGATGTTTGGTCTTCACTTGTTGATAAGTAAGGCACCTTAACACAAACACGGCCACATCATTCTTCATTCCCCTCCACCAAAACTGGCAGCTAAGGTCATGATACATTTTTGTGTCTCCTGGATGCACTGCAAGACGT